GGAGAGGGGAGAGGGGCTGGATGGGGAACGTGGAGGTGACCAAGAGCCACATCCAGGCTTGTGTCACCGGGCCCTGGGAAATTCCCTGCTGACCTGGTGCTCCTAAAAATAGGATGGGGACGGGCGCGGGGTTGGAGGACCGCAGTGGGATTATCTTGCTGGCCCGTGGCCAAGCCTTGTCCACCACAGAGGTGGGGGGTGGTGGGGAAGGGCAGGGGGCTCGGTGTGGGGTTATCCCTGCTCCAAGCTTCTCCTGTGCCGTGCTCAGGTGTCCCTGCTCCGCTGCACCCTCCTGTCGTCTCTCCTCCTCCTCCTGGTCTGCAGCATCCATGAGACGGAGCAGAACAGCTACTGCCAGCAGATCATCACCGAGAGGCACCTGGCCGAGCTGCAGGAGCTGGTGAGTGCCCTCCCGGGGCTGTGCCGGGGGATGGGGGATCGCTCGGGGCTGGGCGGGCACGAATCAACCGTTATTTAGGGCCGAAATAAGGGAATCAGGTGGTTTTCAGCTCCCTCAGCGAAGGGATGGTACCCGGGAGCTGAGCATCCGTGGGCACCGCAGACAAGTGGGCACCGAGGGGTGACAGTTGTTGTGCCTTTATTAAGGTGGCTGTGGAAAAGTGCCAGCAGGAGGGATGGGAGAAGAGGGAAGCAGGAGTGTGGCCGGGGAGGGGACAGGCGCGGGCCCGGGTGGGCGCAGGGGCGCTGAGGGAGCGGTGGAGAGGCCGGCGCTGCGGGCTGGGGTGTTTTCCCGGCGGTTCCGCAGGGGTTAAGCGGAGGAATCCGGCTGCATTCCTGAGTCCAGCTGCTTGCCTGGAAGCTGGGCTGGCAGTGGGGCTGTGGGTGGGTGGCAGGCAGCGAGGGAGGCCGCTGGCCAGGCCGGGTGGGCGATGGAGCCGGCAGGGCTGGGGCGGTGGGTGCCGGCGTCCCGCGGGCAGCTCCGGGGGCTGGCACCCCCCCGAACCCCCGGAGCCGCTGCCGGGGCCGTGTCTCCCTCTCCGTGGCCCTTGGCTCACCTCCGAGCGGGGAATCACGCGGATGTTCAGGGCAGAAGCGGGAATCGGGGGCACGCAGGGATTTGCAGGGTTGTCGCAGATTAAATTCCGCCGGGAGTGCGGGAGAGAGGCGGGAGAGAGGCGGGAGCGGCGCCTCCGGATCCGCGGCTGCTTTTGCTTCGAGCTCCGTGTAACCGCTGTGTCCGGGCTCCTTCACCTCTTCCTCTTCAACCACACTTTAACCAGAAGCTGCTCAGCTTCCTCTGCCCGAGCCCCCTCTGCACCCCCAGCCCTGGAGCCTTTGCTCTGCACCCCTGGGCTTTAAAACTGGGTGCTGGTTGTGGGGGAAGAAGGGATCCCCCAGCCCTGGAGCCTTTGCTCTGCACCCCCGGGGGTTCAAACTGGGTGCTGGTTGTGGGGGAAAAGGGGATCCCCCGTCCCTGGAGCCTTTGCTCTGCACCCCCGGGGGTTCCAGCCGGGTGCGTGGCCGTGGGATGGAGCAGGTTTGAATGGAAGCCGCGCTTTTCCTGCTGGGGATTGCAGCCCTGTCCTCGCAGATGGAGGAGCTCCAGCGCCTGCAGGATAATGGAGCAATTGTTTCCGGGCCGGCATCCCAGGCTGGGAGGAGAATCGCCGGCCGGCAGTTCTGGCAGCCCTGGCTCCCCCAGCCTGGGATGCCGGCCCGGAGGGAGGGGGTTTGCTCGGGGTGGGTTTTTACTCCGACTGGAAAGGGTCTCGTGGCACGGGGGGCCGGCGGCGCCGCGGGGGCGACCCCCGCGCTTTGTGATGCCGGGGGATGCGTGACCTCGGTGTCACGGCCACCTCCTGCACGCCGGGCTGCTCCTTTGCAGCCTGGGTCTGGCGGAGGGAGCGGGGAGAGCTCGGCGGGGCTGGGCTTTGCCGTGGCGCCGGCAGGAAGAGGAGCAGGAGGAGGAGGGCAGGTGGGGCGGGAGCAGACAGGGAGAGGCAGCCAGGGGAGTGCAACATCCTGGTGGGAGCAGGAATCCTGGGCTCGCCCCTGCCAGAGCACTGGCCTCGGGGATGTGGCTGTGTGAGGGGGAGGAGGAGGAGGATGGTGTGGGATGAAGCAGGGCTGGGAGATTCAGGGGACTTGGGCGCCCCTTGGTTCCCAGGGCATGGCACTCCTGGGGCTGCTCAGCTCCAGCCCCTCAGAGCCCCTGCCCTGTCCCCTGGGAATGTGGGTGACCCCTGCCCTGCTCTGTCCTTCCAGGCTGACACCCAGATGCAGCACCCGGGCAGGGTCTCCTTCAAGTTCATCGACAAGATGCAGTTGGTGAGTGGCTCCTTGCTGGGGACAGAAGAGGACAAGGACATGCACCGGGACTGGTGCATGGTGGGGGGTTCCCAGATCCCAAATCTCCAGGACTGGTGCATGGTAGGGGGTTCCCAGATCCCAGATCTCCCCTCTCCTGTCTCCCTTTGTGGGAGGCAGCCCAGGAAGGACCAATCCTGCTCGGCCAGGTGGCTTCCAGGTCCCAGTTTGGGCATCCTGTGGGATTGTAGAAGGGTTTCCCCCAGGCAAGTGCCCACCCAGTGCCCACTCACTCTCCCTTTTTTGGGGGGATCCGTGTCCTCAGAACGACTCCATCTGCTATGTGAAAGCCGCCTTTCCTCTGCTGGGCAAGATTTTGGAGCGAACAGAGTTCAAGGAGAACTCTTCCAACGCCAGGAAGATGCAGACGGTGCGCAGGATGTACCACAGCATCGACGAGAACGTCGACCCCTGCATCAGGGAGGAGGATGATGAGGAGAGGATGGTACAGTGTCCTTGGCTCTGGGTCCTCATCTTGGGGTGAAACGGGGTGTCCAGACCATCCTGGGGCGGGTGCACGGGCAGAACCATGATGTGGAGCAGAGTTGGGGTGTCCATGGACACGAGGAGCCACCAAACCTTGCCCTGGGAGCTCTGTGATGGGGACCCTGGGTGTGTCACAGGGCTGACGCTGAGCCTGGCACTTCCTCCAGCTGTCCCAGATGTGCTTCAAGGAGTTCACCACCTCCCCCTATGAGATGCTGGTCCTGGTGAAGGATTTCTTCCAGGACATCAACCAGCTACTGCAGAACCAGGAGACCTTTGAGAAGGATTGCAGCCACGTCTACCACAGGGCCTGCCCGGGGCCCAGGGGGGCTGAATCCCCACCAGGTGAGATACCAAGGCTTTGCTCTGCCCAGTTAAACCCGTGCCAGGCTGGGGGGGCTTGGGCTGACCTGCATGGAGCAGCTTGAGAGCCACGTGTCCCTGTCTGTGGGCACACGTGGGCACCTCGGTCCTTGTCACGGGGGGGTGGTTGTGGTGCTGTGTCAGCGAGCTCTGCATCAGTGTCAGGGGGAGAAGGGGCTGGCTGCCCTTTGGAGGTGGGATGTGCTGGAAGCAAGGCCAGGGAGGGGTGCTGAGGGGGGGCAGGGAGGCATCTCCAAGGGCTGGCTGGAGGCATCAGGCTCGGCTCCGACTCAAAGCCCCAGAGGAGAAATGGAGGTGCTGGGACTGCTGTGCCACCAATGTCTGCATGCCCTGGGCTGTGTCACTGCAGCTGCCTCAGTGTGCCCTGGCCAAGCTGTCAGGGAGAGTGATGTTGCCCCCCGTGCTGTGTTTGCATGGCCCTGGAGGAGCTGTCTCCTGTCACCCTGTGGGAGCTGTGCCGTGTCCCTGTGCCCTGGGGGATGTTAAACGTGGCTGTCTGGCTCCTGCAAGTCCTGGATAACCCACTGCCATCGGCTCAGGGGACCCGGTGACACGGGTTTGCTTCGTCCCACCTGCTGCTTGTCACCTCCCTGCCCTGCCTGCTCCTGCCTGCTCCTGCCTGTCCCCTGCCTCTCCCGTTTTTTGGGGGCTGTTTGACCCACTTGCCCCGGGGAAGGGCCAGGGGGTGCTCCCCCCGCCCTCAGATCTGCTGGCTGTGCCCCCCTCTTGGAGGCTGGTGACCCCACGGCCGTTTCTTCTCTCTGCTTCTTTCAGGTGTGGGGACAGATCCTGACTGCAATTGCCTGTCCCCTGCCCTCCCTCCTGCCACCCAGCCCTCCCTCTCTGCTGCCACCCGTTCGGGCAGGGACGGGACCCCCGTTAGCAGCCAGCTCCCCCCCAGCCCCCTCCGTGCCACCCTCGCTGACTTAGAGGCCCCACCCCAGGCCCCCAGTGTCATGGACGGGGGCTCGGGCACCGAGGAGCTCCCGGGGGCCGCCATGGGTGACACGGCGTCGGTGCCACCCCCCGGGATGC